CAAAATCCGCTTCGCGGAGCGTAGGCGCTGGAATTGGCGACCCCTTTTATGGAAAATTTGACTTTTGGATAGCTCGGGTCCTTCGGACCGCTTTCCGACGACCCGAGCTCTCAGAAAGTTTTCATGCCAAGCAACATTCCAGCGCCCCAAGGCCACAACAACTTTTAAACGCCGGTAGATAAATAATCATATTTAAGAATTGCTATCAAAAGCCCAGGCCGGATTAAAAATGTAAAGCGTAAGGCGATTAAACAGAAAATTGGGAACCAACCATGGATTGATTAGCGCGATGAACCTCAAATCCATTGTTAATTTTGGCGATACACACTATTTAAACCAGGCTCAAAAATTGAACGATCGCCGGCTATCCAAAAAATTTCATCAAAAACTGATGCTCGATTAAAAAGTAAATTGGAACTCGAGTAAGCGCAATGGAGCGTGAAGAGATTGAGACGAGAAACATCAAACTCATGCTTAATTTTAGTGCAACACTTTTTTTTAACCGAAAATTGATTATTCTTAAAAAATTTCCATCAAAAACCTAGGCCACGTTCCGCCCAAAAACCCTCCTCCCTCAACCCCCGGGGTCGCCTAACGAAAATTTAATGTTCATCATCGGCATCGTCCTCAAGCCGGTTGGACCCTTCCAAGTTGTGGCCCTTCGGCCCTCTGCCCGCGACCCCCCAGAAGAATCCTCTCGATTTCTCGTCTTTTCCAAGCCAGCTTCCCAGATCAATCTGGCGCAAAAGCCAAGTCGAGCAGAAGAGGAGAGAAGGGAGAGCCGAGAGAAGCTATAGTCACCGTGCCTCGCCATTTTGTTCACTTTGCAGCCGCCGAGCCCGGGGGCGACCCGACTTTAGGCGAATCCTGTTTGGAATTTTTAGATTTTGGGAGTCGGTAAGGGATCGTGGCGTTCGGATGGGGAATTTTTGGACCCTGGATTTTGAACAAGGGCTAGATTATTTGTTTTGGAGCGGACGGGATTCTAGATTAAGTGGCAAATCAAAGTGATAACTTGGAAATTTTGCGAAACATGGTTTTTGTAAAAAGGGGAAATCAATAAGGCCGGGATTTTTTGATCCCGAAACGTTAATAATATGCGCTTAATTCCAAATATGGTTTATTGTGAGAATTGAGAAGTCAATAAATAAATTCAAAAAATAAATAAAAAAGGCTTATGCTTAGGCTTAGGCATTAGGCTAAATAAAAAAATAAATTAAATTAAAATATCTAAATTAATGTGCAGTCTGCTATCCTAATAGCATGGTTGTAGATGGGTGAAAAATTTCATACGCCTGATAGCATTTATTGCTTGATCCAGACTATGGAACCATTGAGGTTGTGGGCACGCACCCGGCAACCAATTTTTTTGAAACAGTTAATTTTGCCAGATTTGGAATATCCCGAAAAATGTAGCAGGCCTTTGGCAAATTTTATGGACATGCATTGTCTGGATGCCAAATTCGTAGAAATTCGTGATTAGCCGCCAGCAAACGCCATCGGTCCTCCCGAAATGCGAAACATAGAATTTCGAAATTTGAGGGACGGCTAGGATTTCCGTAAGTATGGAACGGAGTTTATCAGCCCAATTGTAAACGCAAAAATTGCGCGCTCTTTGAAAAGTATTGAAACCCATCTTCGTTTAATTTTCGTAAAAAAAGGTATACAGCGTGGTATGGACAGGCGCAAACCGGGGAAATTCAGTTATAAAATTAGTTAGTCTATGGCCGATTGAAATATCTGAAATTCTCCTAACCTCAAATTTTGTCACAACATATTTTTATTCCATAGTTTGCTTGGAAAAACTGGAATCCAAAAGCTTCAAAAGTGCCTGATGTCGCCCATTTGTAACACTCGTCATTCGAGAAAGCCAGATAAACGTAAAATCAAATTTGCAAAACGGAACCAAGATCTCTTCTAATCTACAACAGTCTCACGTCCAGCCATTGAAAATCTGAAAAAATGTTTGTTTTTTAAAAATTTTTGAAACACATTTTTTAATCGAATTTTTTTAAACAAGCCACTGGCAAGAAATCCTCAATGTTGCCTCGTTCACTTCCTCATTTCGGCGAACCCCTGGATTCTAGCCTTCAGTCGTCCCATAAAAATTCCGGTTCCACCCAAATTTCCCACGATGCTGCTGCTGGGCCCCCGGGGCGGCATTTAACGTTGGGCCCTAAGCGAAAAGTCCCCAATTTGGGGGTCCCGGTGCGCTCGTCAGCCGCCCCCCATGGTAGCGTCTATAGGTGTTCCCCGGAATACCCACGGAATTGCATGGGGTTTGAGGGGTTCTCTCTCACTTCCTCTCTCTCTCTCATTGTCACCCTCTGTCGCTCTCTCTCTCACTTTCTCACTCTCTCACTTGCTCACTAGCTCTCGCTCTCTCTCGTTCGCCCTCTCTCTCTCACTAGCTCTCTCTCTCTCGCTCGCTCGCCCTCTCTCTCTCTCTCGCCCTCTCTCACTCTCTTTCTCTCTCTCACTAGCTCTCTCTCCCTCCCCTCTCTCTCTCTCTCTCTCTCTCTCTCTCTTTTTCTCTCTCCCTGCTTAAGTTTTGGCGTTTCGAAGATTCAAGAGGACCCCCACTTGGCCGGGGTGCAAATCGAAAATTGAAAAGTTACCCCGCTTATACCCACGTAGGCATCAGAAGAGGTATGGAAAAAAATATGAGAAGCGAAAAATAAGAGACTGCCAAAAATGAAAAAAAATATGTTCATAAAATTAAGGACTAAATTTGGTATTGTATGGTGACAATTTGACGTCTTCCTCAGGCGAAAAATCGATTCCTGAAAAACCGCAGCGGTGTGCTTAAAATCAAGTTGGAAAAATGCTAGAAATCTGCAAAGGGCAAACATAAAGATCTTTCACGAAAATTCAGCAAAAAACAATACCAGAGCCTTTAAATTTCCTAAAAAAATTTCGATAATAAAATGTAACTTACATCAATTTAATTATACAGAAATAGATGAAAAACAAATCACACGAATTATAAGGCGGTAACTTAGCACACTCAAGAATCCGGAAGATCAAAAATAGTGTTTCAAAAAATTAAAAATACTAACGTGCATGCATCATATTAATCATTCACAGCGAAAAATTCCGGACTTTAGAATACAATTTCCATTTTTCCAGGCCGCCCCGTACCGGAAGTCGAATGGATCGACAACCAGGGGAAGACGATCGCCGACGGCGCCAAGTTCAAGGTAGAACGAGGCTTGGGTTTTTAAAGGGGGAGTGACAATCAGGACTAGATTAGCTTGAGCTAGAGATTCTTATGAGGGAATGGCCCGGACTCCCAAAGGAGGGCAGGCTAGCAGAGATTATTTGAGGAAATGGACGGACCCCGAGAGGAGGGCAGGCTAGCAGAGATTGTTTGAGGAAATGGACGGACCCCGAGAGGAGGGCAGGCTAGCAGAGATTGCTTAGGAAATGGACGGACCCCGAGAGGAGGGCAGGCTAGCAGAGATTCTTAGAGAAAATCCAGGCCGCCGAGTAGGGCAGGCTAACAGCGATTATTTAGAAAAACCTCATTCTTGAAGAATCCGAAATAAATGTGTTTTGTTCGACAACGGTAAAACATGCTATCGAAAGGGCGTATTGGTAACATCGTGCAGAATAAAAAAGCCACAAGATACCCAAGAATAATGAAAACAAGGTTCATGGCACTCTCATTAATGCGCCTTCTTTTCCAGATCGAAACCTCCGGCCTTAATACCTGCCTAACCATCCAGAAAATCGAGATCGCCCACCGCGGGGAATTTACGTGCCGCGTGCGCAACCGCTGCGGCGAAGACAAGTACGCCATCGGAATTCAGGTAATTTTTTACGCTTGGAAATTAGTAGCCTACAAGAGATTGAAGGGAACGGTTTTCACAAAAGCTTGCTTGGTTTTGCAACATCTTTTTCAAAATTAGTATGTTTAAAAGAACCTGTAGATGGGTGTAAAGCCTGGAAACGAAGGAGAAGATAACACCCTCTCAAAACTCCTAAAAATCAAAAGGCAGGCAGGCTAGCAGAGACCATTTGAGATGAGAGAGAGGGGGAGGGGGCAGGCTAGCAGAGATCATTTAGGACGAGAGAGAGGGGGAAGAGGCAGGCTAGCAGAGTAAATTTGGGATAAGAGAGAGGGGGAGGGGGCAGGCTAGCAGAGATCATTTGGGATGAGAGGGAGGGGGAGGGGGCAGGCTAGCAGAGATCATTTGGGATGAGAGGGAGGGGGAGGGGGCAGGCTAGCAGAGATCATTTCGGATGAGAGAGAGGGGGAAGAGGCAGGCTAGCAGAGTAAATTTAGGATAAAGAGAGTGAGGGGCAGGCTAGCAGAGACCATTTGGGGAACGTTGACGGGTGAGTGGGTGGTGTGGATGGATTTGTCACCACCACCGCCTCCTCCTTTTTTCCGTTCCTTTCCTCTGGACGACTTCTACCCAAATCCGTTTTTCCGGAATGTCTTTTCCGCTCTTTTCGCCCGGAATTCCCTTAGGAAAAGCCCCCCGTTTGTGGGGCGCGAAAATTTTGACTTGCCCCATATGCTAGCCTCGAGTCCGAGTCGGCCGGACACCGCCCCCCGAATATCATTTCCGGAGGGTTTTTAGGGATGGGGAAAATCAGGAAAATCGGAGGACAATGGAAATATACCGCCAAGGAACCGCATTGCCTCCGCGGAGAAAATGTTTATCTTGGAAGATGTTTGAAACATCGGATTTTTTGAACCCTACGCTAGGGGTGATTTTTGAGATGGCTGTTTTCAGGAATCCGGAGGGTTTTTGAGCACCGGGAAAAATCCGGGGGAATTTCAAACTTGATGGGACGCTTGCATTACCTCCGCAAAACAAAAGATTCATGCTTCAAAATAGTTGAAATTCATCGAAACCACAAACATATTATAATAACTTTCCAAAACTATTACAACATATTTTTTGAAACATTATTTTTCCAAGGGGCCCTCTTTTATAATCCTAATAAATTAATTGAAAAGGTATTCTGATTTCGTTGTAGTCTTCAAAAGACAGATCGCACCCGGCAGGACCTTTTTGCAAAATACACGTTCCCGGAAGCAATTCTTGAAGCTTAAACATAATTTTTGATTTTCCGCAAAGAGAGAGCGAGAGAGAGAGAGAGAGAGAGAGAGAGAGAGAGAGAGAGAGAGAGAGGGAGACTTCAAAGAAAAGCTCGAACAATTGACCTGGAACTCCCCGCCAAGACGTTCTTTTTTCGAATTCTAAAGAATTGAGGCCCCAAAGACCACTGCAAAATGCCCTGGGGGCCCAATTGGCCCCCTGGACACTAGTTTCTAGTAGAAAAGCCGCCCTAAAATGTCCTTCTAAAATTCCCAAGGAATCTTTGCTAGCCTGCCTTGACTACGAAGCCAATATTGAGTTTGTTAAATCGGTTTTGCTGGCCTGCCCCACTTCTGGAAAATGGCAAAAAAATTCAAAAATTGTATGGGAATTATGCCAAACCCAAGGAATTTGGTAGCCTACCCGATTATTTTACGTAGTTTCACTAAAAAATAAACATGTTTCAAAAATGTTCCTAAAAAAAAATAGTTAGGTGGTGGTAATGGTCGATCGTAACTACCCATAAAGGGATGCCGACCGCATAGTCAATCGCTTACGCGCTGGAAAGAAATTGTCTCTGCGCCTCTCCCCAGGGCGCGCTCTCTGCCCAGTTGGCTACTTGCCAATTTGTTGATGGGGGATCGACACATGCCGTCGGCAGCCCTTTAAAATCCCTTTCTCCAAAAAAATCACCCACCCGATCGTCGTCATGGCGCCTGGTGGAAAGTGAGCGGGGCTTGGAGCGAGATAACCTGAAAATACATTTAAAATGTTAAAAATAATGGAATTCTTTTTATTCATGAAATTCTAAGGCCCCAAGGCTGTTAAGTTCGGTCATCAAAAAAAAGTAAAAAAAAGAATGATTCAGAATTTATTCTTGAAAATTGGTAAGCTACATTACTAACGTTAGGACTTTCCGCTCCTATTCTACTCTCTCAAAAAAATATCTTAAATTTAAATTACTGTAAAAAGACATGTTGCGAAAATGTTGTAGATTTAAAAAAGGTCTCGAAAGGTATTGAACCGAGGACAGTTATGGGATGTTGAAAAACGCAAAAAAATGATTCAGTATTTGTTTGGCCGAAATTCTGAGCTATATAAGGAATGTCAGGACCTTACGCATTCCTATTCCCTCCTATCTATTCCCACAAAAAAAAATTGAAATTTCAATTAATTTAAAAAGACATGTTTCGACAAGGTTGCTAGCAACTATTAGGCATTTCGCCATAATCCGGTTTGGGTGTCACGATAAAAGTAGGCTATCATTTTACAGGTGCACCAGGTCCTCAAATGCGCAAAAAAAGTATATTTCAAAAATCTTGGTACCTGTTAGCAGGACCGCCACGTTAATATTAGTCACAGTTACCGGCTGGGATTTGAGCAAGCGTAAAAACGCCTAAAAACATGTGCATTGCGTCTCGCGTCCCAGCCAATTTTTTATTGAATAAAACAGTTTTATTCCGAATAAAAATAGAGCCATACAGTACTTCCCGCTCCCGTAACAGCCTTGGCATAATGTAAAGAAACGTTCGCAAAAAGTATGTTTCAAGAAATTAATTGGAATAATTGGTTCACTTTCATAGAATAGTCCGTCCTCGAACATCCAAAAAAAAAAAATGAGAATTTTTGATACACATCCACTAATTTTAAACTTTAAAACTTATGTTTCAACAAATCTACCTTTCAGAGCTAAAGGTCTTGAGAATAATTTTTCGTCTTTTTTTCAGCAGATCAAAACAATGCCTACGCAGCTCTGCTTATAGGATAGGATTAAAAAAATGTATTATTCAACATTTTCGCAGCAACTATCACCACGACCCGCCACGTTAATGCCAGAACCTGCTGAACCGAAATTAACCAGGTTCAAAAATGTCTAAAAATGTAAAAAAACTACATAAAACGACGTTTACCAAACTAGATTACTAATCTTAGATCTCTAAACATTTTGTAAAAATATATCTAAGGAAATATGCTAACTAACTGAGCCAACCTGACCTTTTCAGAGTTTTGCCGAGAACGGACGTTTCAAAACTAATAAAAAATGTTTCAAAAAGTTACCTCGTTTTTCCGGGAATTACTGTAACAATCCGTCGACAAAGTATTGGTTCCGTGAAATTTCTGAAGCGTCAAAACTCGAGAAGCGCCAATTGCGCCTTAGCATATTTGCGCATCAGCTAAACCGGGCCGACGGGAGAATTGGCACTACCGAATTGATGAGTCCCTTGAATCCAGCATTTCCAGCTTTTTAAAGGGACCTGAAAGGCATGCCAATGGATTTCCTGGCTATGGATTTCCTACATAGCGCCACGCAACGCACGCGTACGCCTTTTAATTGCGTACTCGATTACGACCTGATAAAAGCGGCGAAGCGGCGTACGTTGCGTCAAATTCAAAATTTTTGAAACACTTGAACGAAATTCGCAGAATAAATATGGTGGAAACGTCGAAAAATTGCCTTGACTACCCCTTTAAAACCAATTTTCAATCGAAAAAATCAAAATTTGTAAGGGCAGGCCACGCGATTTTAAAACGGTTTTAAAATCAAGCGATCATCAATTACTTATGACCCGGCTGCGCTCGCTACCCAAAAATTTGAAACATTGAGAATTAAACCACCGTCTCAAAAATTGATTAATATTGCAGCATCGAATTGAATCAACAAAATGCCGAAAAATTCCTTTAGTAAATTTAATTTTGTTACAAAACCTGTATGTAATTTATTGATTAATTTAAATTGATATTAAATGCTATTTTTAGGTGACCGATCGTCCGGAACCCCCCGGAAAGCCGACAGTCCAAGACCAAAATGTTGACTCCGTCAAGCTGCTCTGGGCGGTGCCGAAACAGGACGGCGGATCGGCCATCAGGAATTATATTGTGGAAATGAAGACTGTAAGTTTCGGAAACAATATTATTTAAAAAATAATGAAATAGTCGGTCTTAATGGTAATAAGAATATTATTAAGCTGATGGATGGGTTTGAAGCCAAAAAATTCAATTTTCGGTAAGAGTCTAGGAAACCCCCCAGCCGGCACCAACTTTTGTATTTCGCCCCCCCTCTGTGCTAGCGAGCTCTAAAGTATACCAAAATGTTCGCCGTAAGCTAATTAGTAAGCCTACATTGCAGTTCAGGCGAAATAAGTAGCGAAAATAAAAATAAGGAAGGTAGAAAAGTTGTAAAGTCGGCTGCCCCGGGGGGTTCCTAGACTTGAGCCCAATTTTCAATTTAAAAAAAAAACAATCTAAGCTTCTTAGGTAATAAAAACTTACTTCGACCCTCTAGAAATCATCAGTCACTGGCGAATATGGCTTATTACACTGTCCGAAAAATTCGGATTCGGTAGAATTTTTGAAACATTGCGATAATCGAAAAAATCGGAATAGTAAAATTGTTGTTTTCCACAAAATAGCAGATTTTTCATCGTAACAAAGTATTCTAACGTTTCTAAAGCAAAAAATCTCCGCATTAATGAAACCCGAATTGGGCGATAAAAAGCATGAACAGCACGAGACTTACTCAGAATTAGCCAGCTCAACAAATTCAGATCGTGTAAATTTTTTGAAACATAATGATAACCCTGTTTATCAGCGCCATGTTTGGAAAAACTGACTATTGAAACATTACCTTTTTCTCAGGAAAACGACAAAACCTGGGCGAAGGCCGAGGTGACGAAGCAGCCATTCACCACGCTGTTCCACTTGGTGGCCGGAGAAACATATCGCTTCCGCGTCCGCGCCGACAACGTCTTCGGGCAGTCCGACCCCTCAGAAGAGGCCGATCATGGTTACGGTACAATCCTGTCACCAGACAGGTTGTTACCCCCGCCGCCAAAGGAGAGGGAGGAGGAACAGGTAGGCTGGCAGGGTGAGACCATTTGGGATGAGAGAGAGAGGGGAGGGGGGCAAGATCAGAGATCATTTGGGATGAGAGAGGGGGAGGGGCAGGCTAGCAGAGATCATTTGGGATGAGAGAGAGGGAGGGGGCAGGCTAGCAGAGATCATTTGGGATGAGAGAGAGGGGGAGGGGGCAGGCTAGCAGAGATCATTTGGGATGAGAGAGAGCGGGAGGGGGCAGGCTAGCAGAGATCATTCGGGATGAGAGAGGAGCGGAGAGGGCAGGCTAGCGAGATCATTTGAGATGAGAGAGAGGGGAGGGGCAGGCTAGCAGAGATCATTCGGGATGAGAGGGGGAGGGGCAGGCTAGCAGAGATCATTTGGGATGAGAGGAGAGGGGAGGGGTAGGCTAGCAGATATCATTCGGGATGAGAGAGGGGAGGGGGCAGGCTAGCAGAGATCATATGGGATGAGAGAGAGGGGAGGGGGCAGGCTAGCAGAGAATCCGTAGTGGGATAGGAGAGAAGGGGGAGGGGGCAGGCTCCGCAGAGATCACTGGGATCAGAGAGGGGAGGGGGCAGGCTAGCAGAGATCATTTGGGATGAGAGAGTTGGGTTTTGCTGCCTATGGGAGGGCAGCTACCAACACTTTTGCAACGGCTGCAACGCCAAGAAGATCACACAAGGAGGGTGTGCCAAGAAGGGGGAGCTCCTAACTCCACAAGCAACTCACTGCGCCTGACAAGACGCTAGGAGAAAGACCAAAAACGTGTTAGAAAACTAGAATGTGATTAGAGAAAACAATAATTTAGTGAGATACGTTTATTATGAATAATCTACGCGACGGAAATTAAGGAGAATGAGAATTTAGAGGGGGGAAATCTAGGGGGTTGGGAGGAGAACTCGGGGACAGGGAAGTTAGCGGGGAAAACGGGCGGCAACGGGCGGCAGCGGCGCCCCAAAAATCCGCGACTGACTTGGAAGAGGGCTCTCTTCTTTTGGGCGGCCTGCGATCCTTGGGCGCGCGCCGTGGCGTCGGCGACGGTATCGCCGTGTACTCGTGCGAACCGGGGTCGAGGGAAGGGGAGCAGGGGCCAACCCAACTCGGCACCCCCCGGAATAAACGTCGTCCGCGACGTTGAAACAGCATCCTTCCTTCACGTAAACGTACTTGACAGGCTTGGCTTCGTCGTGGGGCTTGACTTGAAGGGCACGTCTTGGCGATTCTTGTCGCATCCTTCCTTCGCATCCGATCCTTGTTGTAGTTGTCGTTTCACATCCATTCCTTGTGTCGTATCCAATCCTTGTTGGTGGCCCGTGCACCTCCTTGCGTTCCATCGTCTTGCACGGGCGGGCCGCTGCGAGGGGGATACAACAAAAAGGTGGGGCCGGGGAAAGGAAAGAATACACATGAAAAGGTAATGCGGGAACGAGAATAACAACGTAGAAAGTTGTGAAAATGAAAAACGGAAACGAGAAATACAATACGGTACGAGGGAAAGAGGGTTTACTTTTCGATGATTCCTTGTCATGTAGCTGCGCATCGTGTAGTCGGTGAAGACGGCGACGTAGAACTTGCGATCTTGACGGCGTAGATGTTGACGACGAGCTTGACCACTTTGTGTCGTTGAACAGCGTGTAGGCGATGAAGATGAAGAGAAGTGCTTGACCATGATGATGGATCCTTGAAGAGCTTGACTCCTTGAACGCGTGTAGAACTTGAACGGGCGAGAACTTGCGAATTCCGGGATCAGCAGCGGGTCCTCCGGATCCGGTGCCAGACGAGACCGAGATGATCAGGTTCTTGACATCGACTCCGTCGAGGGCCTTGGCGAAAAGATCGGGCCAGCAGGGCTCGAAATAAACCTTGGCGGCTTTCAGGGGCGTGGAGATCTTGTCGCTGGTGATCGCGACTTCATCGTCTTGGAGAATCAGGGCAGCGTAAACGCGGGTCCGATCCTCATTGGAAGCCATCAGCGCAAGGGCGGGCCGGGCTCTTCAGGCCGTGCTACCTGGAAAACGTGGAATGTAATCAAAATTTGGCGAAAACAACCAGAATTTTGAAAACAAAAATCAATCAACTTGAATCACGTGGAAAGCAAAGCAAAAAAGATTGCAGTGCGAGAGCGCGGAGGGACCAGCGACGTTTTGGCGATTTTTAGGCGAGAAGCAGGGCCAAAGTTTGCGAAAGTGTGGAAATATCGCGGGAAACGTTTTCAATCATTGAAAATAAAGTTCTCAAAACTTTCGTACAAAAGAAATGAGCAATTTGCGGCGGCCATTCAAAAGTATAGCTTTTGGCGGAGCTATAACATAACGAAAAAGCTTTTCCGCTCGATTTTTGAGGCGAAATCAATCCTGAAAAAGGTGCGTTTTGCGGGGAAAGCATTCTTCGAGATGGAAAACGAATTTGAAAAAGGCCTTTGACAATGAAAGAAACGTTTGCGACGAAATTTGGAAGCCTTCGAAGCAAAATTTGGGCGCAAGAGCAGGGGAAACAAGCAAATTACGGCGTAGCGAAAGAAAACAAAGACAAGCGCGTTCTTGTCAACTTCATACCAGGGAAAACGCTTGGCGAAAGGGGTTGCCAGTCCGGGTTTCCAATGTTATTGCTTTAGGAGCGGGTGAGAACGCGGGAAAATTACAAAAAACTTGATCCCTAAAAGGCGATGAATTGGGGCAGGGTACGGCGGGGCAAAAATGCAACACGGGGACGAAGGACGGGAGAAGCGCAACGTAGTTTGAATAGTTTCTTGCTTGTCAGGATCTGCAGGACTTTTCCTAACTGAAAAACGATTTGGAGAGAGCAATCGGTTCAAGAAGAAGCTGCGATATGCCATTTTATTGTCAACAAGGGGCCATGAAAATCTTTTTCAAATGAAAAGCGCGGGTATTCGAAAGGCTGGAATCATCGAGGTTTCGATTCTTGATACGGCTGATAGCAAAAAGAAGAATTCTCAATGCTGGGCACTTGGAAGCGAGAAATCCTGCGAATAGAGTCGAAACAGCTCAACATGGCGAGGCAAAAGCTCATTTTTGCAGGTGCGAAAACAGAAAATTGCGCAGGGCTGATCAATTCCCTTTACAAAACGTGATTCTTTTGCACTTTTCAAAAGAAGGCGAGTTCTGGGATGAACTTTTGCGCATGGAGCGGGTGCGAGTCGGAAATCAAACCTAGGCGGGGGTTAGAGAAAGCGATAAAACCTTGAATACGCCGGTTTGAGATGCTTGAGGCCATTGGGAGCAGATAGAGCCATCTTCACAGAGAACTTCTGACCAAAGTGACGTTCGCGATTCGTCAGCCTGGAAAAATTGCATCTGAGAATAAAGCAAATTCAGCTCACTTTCAGGCAAGAGTTGTGGGCAGTTGTGGCGGCTTTTCCTTTGAAGCGACATTGCCGTACTGGCAAGAATCCAGGCAAACTGCGAGGGCGGGGGGAAGCGCAATGGGCATTCGGTAGCCGCAATAACATACCGAATCCACAAAGCTCAAAAAAAAACCTTAAACGGCTCGAGCTGTGCACGCTACGAGTCGCCGACTGCGTAAAGGCCCAAAAATGCACAGGCGGGTTCCCATTTCTGCGACGGGAAATGAGGGAAAGGCGGCCACGACGCACAGTCGTCACATCGGCTCCGCGAATCGATCCTTAGCCCACTCTGAGAGTCTCATGATGCCGAGATTCCTCCGGACCAAAGTGCGCGAGCAACCAGCAGCTGCGATGGAAGCTCTTCGGTCTTTTTCACCCATATACACTTGGTCCGTGCACTCTTCAGCAACATGATCATGTATTCCTCCCCGATACATGTGCTTGCTTTGCTCACCGGTCTTTGCGGTGATAATGGCAACCTTCTTGCGGGTTTCTTGGGTGCTTTTTCAGCCAATTTCTGGCTTTTTCTTCATCTTCGCCTCTACTTCATCAAAGAAGGGCTTTTCGATGGCTGTTCATGCCTGGTTCACGGGCAAAACCAGAACATGTCGACGTCCGAAATGGCTGGGATGCCAATCGACGGTTAAACTCTTGGCACAAAACTCTGGACGAGTTTGGCCAGGCCACCGAGCGCGTTCTGGGCTGAACGGCTGGGCCAACCTTCGCTTCAGCACATGGGGATGCTTCCGCTAGGGTTTGAGAGGTGGGGAAAGCACGGTTCGGCCCCCAGTTGGGTTTTGCTGCCTATGGGAGGGCAGCTACCAACACTTTTGCAACGGCTGCAACGCCAAGAAGATCACACAAGGAGGGTGTGCCAAGAAGGGGGAGCTCCTAACTCCACAAGCAACTCACTGCGCCTTACAAGACGCTAGGAGAAAAACCAAAAACCTGTTAGAAAACTAGAATGTGATTAAGAGGACAATAATTTAGTGAGATACGTTTATTAAGAATAATTTACGCGACGGAAATTAAGGAGAATGAGAATTTAGAGGGGGGAAATCTAGGGGGTGGGGAGGAGAACTCGGGGACAGGGAAGTTAGCGGGGAAAAACGGGCGGCAACGGCGTGCGGGATCCCCCAAAAAAATCCGCGACTGACTCGGAAGAGGGCTCTCTTCTTTTGGGCGGCCTGCGATCCTTGGGCGCGCGCCGTGGCGTCGGCGACGGTATCGCCGTGTACTCGTGCGAACCGGGGCTCGAGGGAAGGGGAGCAGGGGCTCAACCCAACTAGAGAGAGGGGGAGGGGGCAGGCTAGCAGAGATCATTCGGGATGAGAGAGAGGGGGAGGGGGCAGGCTAGCAGAGATCATTTGGGATGAGAGAGAGGGGGAGGGGGCAGGCTAGCAGAGACGCTTTGAGGAATTGAATTGGACAGAATTTCCAAACGGAGAGTTGGCGGAATTATCAATTACAGCGAGTAGCGGTCCCAGAAATTTTTGAAACAGACTTTTTCAAAATACTATAATTCCCAAATTTCTAGCCCGAAGCCGTTGACTACGAAAAGCTGGACACTACAGTAGGCGAGGCCGAATTGAACAAGACCGTCGACCTCAACCGCATCCCGAACGACTTGCAGGCAAAGGTGGGAAAAATTTATTCCATACCACTCGAGATTTCTTTGACGCAAAATTCCTCCTATGAAAAAGCTGTTCCTACGATTAAATTTGATTAAGAAAAGGCTTAGTTGGCATGCTTTAAAACACTTTATTTCCAGTACATCATCTGCGAGGAGCTCGGCCGTGGGGCCTACGGCACCGTATACCGAGCCATCGAACGCGCTACCGGCAAGACGTGGGCCGCTAAAATGGTCCAGGTGAGCTCGACGAGAGCTTTCGATAGATACCTAGAGGGGAGGGGCTTTGGGACATCCTATATTGTTAGTATTTTTTTAAATGCATGTGTCGCAAAACACAGGTTATCGCGGAAGCCCCCTCAAAAATAATTAATTTTTGGATTTTTTGGAATAAATGTTTCGTGGAACAAAATATTTGATAAACTTTTCATGCAAGCAATGTTTCCATCTCCCCAATCCTACCTTATATAATTTTGGCGTGTATCTTTGTGTGTGTGTGTGGATGTCACTTTCGAGGCCCGATTTGAGGGCCTTCCCGTGTCCAAAATGCCCTAATTCTCCGTCAAGCGGGGGAATCGACCCTCCTTTTTTCGCTGGCGTTTTCAGATTTTCGGTAAAATACAAGTTTACAAAGTTAAAGCCGGTTTTATTCATTTTGGGGGTCCGGGAGAGCTAATTTGGATAATGTGAAAAAATAGAAATTTACTCATTCTTGCCAGTTGCACTCGTGAGTTTGGTCGGGGGAGGGGAGGGGTCCGAAGGACCCGAGCAATCGGAAAGTCAAATTTCTCATGCAAAGGCGTGATTCCAGCGGCCAAGGCCCGCGAAGCGGGTTTTGGGCGCTGGTTTGAAAATTATTGAGCAATGCCATTCAATTCATTTAAAAGAGGAGAAGGGGCAGATCAAAAAGTCTAGTATATTGCCAGAATTTTTTAAAAGCCATGTGTCGTAAAATAATAATTCTTTCAAAAGCTATTAAAAATTAATAAATGCATGCTTCGCGGAAAAGGCTGCACTCGTTTGAATTTTTTGCGATAAAATGTTTCGTGAAATGAAATATTTGGAAAACGTTTCTTTCAGGCACTATTAGCAGATTCTTAATCGGAAATCTTATATGAACTCTGGGATTTAAGTGTTTCATCAAATAATAATTATTTTGCAAAACCCCTAAAATTAATCAATTCTAGGTTCGCCCGGGCGTGAAGAAAGAGAACGTGCTGCACGAGATGGACATGATGAACCAGTTGCACCATGAAAAGCTGCTGCATCTGCATGAGGCATTCGATCTCGGGAATGAGATGTGCCTCATCGAGGAGTTTGTCTCGGGCGGAGAGCTTTTTGACAAGATCATGGAGGACGACTCGCTCATGTCCGAGCCGGAGGTAATTTCAGGTTTTCAAGGGACCGGGAAGGCAAAAATCTGGCTGGGAAGCCAGGTGAATCAAGCTAAAATTAATATGTTTTGTGGATTCGAGTGGCCGGGAAGCTAGGAAAAAATACAATCGTCAACGACCCGCAAAAAGATTTTATCGATATTTGTTGTAGATTTATGCTTTTCGAGGCTGGAAAATGCAAAATAAAAACCAATCTATGGGTTTAACGGGCCGCGCAAGGCTTCGCGATTTGCTATCGGAATCTAAAAATCCATAATTTCGACTATAACGAATCCAGAAATGGATACTGTGGAAAGTCGACAATGTCGCAATTTCCGATACAAAAATTTAATCTGCCGAAATTCAGGATGTCGAAAATTCAATATGCCGACATTTTTTTATAGAATTTTCGGAGATTTGCTTATGCAAATTAAAATTTTGTGATGTCGACATTCTGAGATTACGACAACCTGGCTTTCGAAATTATGAAAATGGACATTATGAAAATGGACATTATGAAATTTCGACATTAGGAATTTCGACATTATGGAATTTCGGAGAACCACCCCGGCAATAGTATTGAATTCTCAAAAAAATCTCGTGTTTCAATAAACCAAGGATTTCGGGTTGGATGTCTGAAACTTAATTGGGCGTGGGCCTTACAGAATTACATTTTTCGGTTTTAAAAAAAATTTGAAGGATTTTTTCTAAAATACGTTCAGATTTTTTGTGCTTTCGAATAGGGATTCATAAAAATCAAACTTTCTACTTTACCATGACAACAAAGGAGAACTGCTATTTCTCCAGGTTCGCGACTACATGCACCAGATCCTGCTCGGGCTGCAACATATGCACCAGAAGAACATCGTCCACCTCGACCTGAAGCCTGAGAATATTCTGCTCAAGGTTGGTTCGAAAGGTCACGAAAAACAGATGATTAGCCTGGGATAGTTTCGTCAAACAATGAAAAATGGTAAAACCTCTATTTTTAAAGCCTCGTTTTTTTAGATATTAAAAGGCCGTTTGCGAGCCACCCGAACAAGGCTTGGCACAGTTTTTTTCGACCCTGTTTTTTTTGACGCCATCTGAAAGAGCATGGTCGAATTAGTGGGGTGGCACTATTTTGAGAATTTTAACAGTTTAATTTCGGGGTTAAATCGGCCGTTAAAGTTGCCGATGTCAAAAAATTATCTCGAAAGTGCTTTGAGGGAATTTGCTAAAAATTGGTGTGCATGCCTAATTTTAGACGCTGATCATTTCTCTAATACATCGCAAAACGCGAAAATGACCGGAACATAGTTAAATCATGTACTCGAGATGGTTTTCCCGGAATCCATAAAAAACGGCCTTTTCTGCGCTCCATGAAAATAGCCTAGAAAGATGCGCCATATTTTTTTTACGTCGATACATGTATCGTTTACCCGGAAACCAGCTCCCCTCCTCTTGCTACAACTCGTTTTATACTCCAAAAACGCGCCAAAAATGGCCCCCAAAAATACAAAATCTCCGGTTCGGAAAAATAAAGACAACAGATCGCATCTAGAAGACGAGCTGAAGCGATTGCAAAAAAGAGCAAAAAGAAATTCGGCTTCTGAGAGGGGGCTGGGATTGAACCCGCGCCGCCTCTGGATTGGCACGCCAACGCCCTACTCATTGCGCCACGGGGCTCCCAGGCGGAGGGTCCGGGTTCGATTCCGCGACATTGAAATAAGGTTAATTTCTTTTTGCTCTTTTTTCCAATCGCTTCAGCTCGTCTTCTAGATGCGATCTGTTGTCTTTATTTTTCCGAACCGGAGATTTTCTATTTTTGGGGGCCATTTTTGGCGCGTTTTTGGCATATAAAACGCGTTGTAGCAAGAGGAGGGGAGCTGGTTTCCGGGTAAACGACACATGTATCGACGTAAAAAAATATGGCGCATCTTTCTAGGCTATTTTCATGGAGCGCAGAAAAGGCCGTTTTTTATGGATTCCGGGAAAACCATCTCGAGTACATGATTTAACTATGTTCCGGTCATTTTCGCGTTTTGCGATGTATTAGAGAAATGATCAGCGTCTAAAATTAGGCATGCACACCAATTTTTAGCAAATTCCCTCAAAGCACTTTCGAGATAATTTTTTGACATCGGCAACTTTAACGGCCGATTTAACCCCGAAATTAAACTGTTAAAATTCTCAAAATAGTGCCACCCCACTAATTCGACCATGCTCTTTCAGATGGCGTCAAAAAAACAGAGTCGAAAAAAACTGTGCCAAGCCATATTAGGGACTGTTCGAGCGACTCGCGGATGGCCTTTTAATTTATTTTCTGAATTCCGAAAATATACAACGAATTACGTTGGGATTACCCCGTAAATAAATGTTGAAATATATATTTTTAATTCCTTTGCGTCGATATTGATTTATTTTGCTGAATTGAGCGGAACAGAATTAGCTTGGGATAAACCGGTCAAAGTAGGAAAAGTGTTGAAAAATATATATATTTAATTTAATCTTGCTTAGCTTAGATTTTTTTATTTTTTAACCTGAATTTCTACAATAAAAACATCTTATTATTGCTATCGTTATAATCTCTCTTCATCCCATATCATTACTTTCGAATTTAAGCTGAACAAGGAAAAGACTGGAACTTTTTATATATCTTGTTTTGAGTTTTCGATTTTATATCTTGTTTAGAGGTTTTCGACTCGTTTTGTTTAAAACTCGTGACAACTCTACCATTGGTTTGGTGGTGCAGAGCCGAACAAGTGAAAAATTTGAAGCATATATTTTTAAGCTGCAAAAAATGCTTCTTTTTATCTTTGGCTGAATCATCACATCACAACAATTTGAAACACGATTTTCTTTTAAAAAGTTTATGACGAAGTTTTCTAATGTATTTTGTTTGGAAAAATATATGATTCAAAAATCTTGAACACAGAATTTCAGGCTTAGGATGTTAATCGTGCGCAGGTTATGATGCGAAAAACTTTTACGCAAAAAATACAACGTTTTTGAAAATTCAAATTGACTGTTTTAAGATTTGAATCATAAAGCGCAAAAATACGCTTAAAATTCCAGGCGAAGGGCAGCACCGACATCAAGATCATCGACTTTGGGCTTGCGCGGAAGCTGGACCCGAAGCGCGGCGTGAAGCTGCTCTTCGGCACGCCGGAATTCTGCGCGCCCGAGGTGGTCAACTACCAGCCCGTCGGCCTCGCCACGGACATGTGGACCGTCGGAGTGATCTCCTACGTTCTGTAAGTTTTCTTCGGCTTTTTGTAGGTGTCCCGCTCCCTTTAAAAATAGAAATGCCATTGGATTCCGTTTAAAATTATTTAAAAAGTATATCGCCGATTCTTCACAAAGAACTGGATAGCTTTAAATCCCGCCGGGCATCTATTTTGGATGAAACATGCTTTTTTCGCGAAAATCCTAGAAAGTATACGTTGCGATCCAAGATAACGACCTAATATCTTGTACCATCTTACATTTATATTCAGTTTTTTTTCAGGTGTCACACCCCATTTAAAATAATAAATTGCATAGTAATTCAATTAATGTTAAGAAGTGTTACAAATTGGCCTAATCAACTTTAAACACGTTTCGTTTGATATCGGTGTCTCAGCGACTGGCTAGAATTGCATTTTGGAGGAAACATGTTATTTTTCACGAAAAACTAACCTTTCGGAAGCAAGTTGGGATCGTCAAATTAGGATTGGCGTAACCAGATAAAACATCGGATTTTTTGAAACGCGTTTTTTATCGAAGCATCTTCCAACAAACTAATTTTGATTCATGATTTTTACCGTAAACCAGTTCTGATGAAACATCATTCCGATAAGAAAATAACCGGATTCCCGGTTATTGCCATCTGGGCGAGCTAGCAAACAGCATTTCGGAGGGTGTAAAGAAAATTCAGAATGGCCGCCGCAAACAGCTTGTATTAAACGTGATGAATTTTCCTAGTGCATCAGTATTTTTGAAACCCCAAATTCGTGGCCTACCATTTCTTGTATTTTAAAAGGCTAGCAGAGATCATTTGGGATGAGAGAGAGGGGGAGGGGGCAGGCTAGCAGAGATCATTTGGGATGAGAGAGAGGGGGGGGGGGCAGGCTAGCAGAGATCATTTGGGATGAGAGAGAGGGGGAGGGGGCAGGCTAGCAGAGATCATTTGGGATGAGAGAGAGGGGGAGGGGGCAGGCTAGCAGAGATCATTTGGGATGAGAGAGAGGGGGGGGGGGGCAGGCTAGCAGAGATCATTTGGGATGAGAGAGAGAGAGGGGAGGGGGCAGGCTAGCAGAGATCATTTGGGATGAGAGAGAGGGGGGAGGGGGCAGACTAGCAGAGATCATTTGGGATGAGGGGGAGGGGGCAGGCTAGCAGAGATCATTTGGGATGAGAGAGAGGGGAAGGGGGCAGGCTAGCAGAGATCATTGTGGAAATCCCATTTTTTAGCCTCTCCGGCCTCTCTCCATTCCTCGGCGACTCCGACGAGGAAACGCTGGCGAATGTGTCGGCAGCGGATTGGGACTTTGACGACCCGTCCTGGGAGGATGTTTCTGATTTGGCCAAAGATTTCATCTGCCGCCTAATGGCCAAGGACAAGAGGAAGCGGATGAGCGTCCAGGAGGCCCTGCAGCACCCGTGGATCGTGGTATGGTTTTTGTGGCTTACAACAGCCTTTAAATGTTCTATGTCCTATGTCTTTTAGAAAAAACACACTTATTAATGTAGTAATTTAATTTACATTTAATTCCTAAATTTCAAGGAAAAAACACGACTTCTATCGTCTTCTAGAGAAGAATGAAATTGTAGGTCCGGTACATATGAGCCTCTGAACTGCCGCAAATTGCGATTAAAAACTTTAATAATGATTGGTGGATTTTTCATGAAAAAATGAAGAAAATATACTGTAAAACCAGGAATCGTTTAAGGGATCACTACCGCACTAGATTATTTGGCTGAAACATGGCATTAAGTGAAATTTTGATCGATCTGTTTAGCCATTTCCACGAAACATCATTTTCATCATCATTTGTCCATTTTCAGGGTCCAATGTTGTCCGCGTTCAAAGACCTGTCCGACTACGTGGAGGTGTGTGTTTATGTTGTGGAAAATTTACAGATTTTTGTGTCTTGAAAAATGAAATATTGAAAACGTGGGGTGGACCTCTCCACCCCACGTTTTCAATATTGATTTTGGTCGACCTCGTACTACCTTGCTCAATGATATTTTTACATGGTAAATAGGCGAAACACAAATTCGCAATAAAAATAATTCGGAGACCTGTGAGACATAGCCATGAATTTTAATAGTTTTTTTAATTATACAATTCTCACCTCAAAAGGAACCGAATCGTGGCATATTAACTTTTTTTGCTATTTCGAACTAGGCGAAACATCAGTTCTGTAATGCTAAAACATTTTGCGGCTTACAAGGGAAGTGCACGACCGGCCCACGAGAAATCGACACGCGACATAGTGGATCTGATAGAATAGGACACGGGGATTCCGAATCTGCCGTCAGAATTTGCTAAATAAAACGGAGAAAAAAGTTATGAAGCTTCAAAGTTGGCCAAATCGCCAAAAACGGTACCTTTAAGAGCCCGTAAAAACCGGGGGAACGGAATTGAGGAGAAAAGAGTTAGTGCATCTTGTTCAGCAGAAAAAACGCTTTCGAATGAGCTGTAATACGTACCATTTGCAAACAATTCACCGAAAAAGGTTTTTTGGATTCACGGGCAAGGGTATGGCCTGCCAAGTTCATAGAAGAGATTTCCGCGAAATCATCGTAAACTTAAAGTATTACAGCTCATTCGAAAGCGTTTTTTCTGCTGAACAAGATGCACTAACTCTTTTCTCCTCCATTTCCGTTCCCCCGGTTTTTACGGGCACGTAAAGTACCGTTTTTGGCGATTTGGCCAACTTTGAAGCTTCATAACTTTTTTCTCCGTTTTATTTAGCAAATTCTGACGGCAGATTCGGAATCCCCGTATCCGATTCTATCAGATCCACTACGTCGCGTGTCGATTTCTCGTGGGCCGGTCGTGCACTTCCCTTGTTAGTGAGGGGGTAATATCAATTAACATTACGCTTAATAAAAAAATTATCTGTTGTAATTGGCCTATTCAGAGGTTATCATATCTCGTATCGAAATCTTTTTTTTTCATATTTTGAATTGGGCGAAACCTCATTTCGAATCAAATATTTTGCAGTTTCTGATATTTGCAATTGGGCGAAACATCATTTGTACCGTAAAATTTTGCAGCTGCTTGGTAATTATGACTTTAAGCTTTACTAACATTTTAAATGACGTATGATAATAATTGCCTTAACAGTTTATAATGGGGCAAATTAGAATGGCTTTATAATAAAAAACCAGTAATAGCATTTATACTGTTTTTAAAACACCATCACAATTATGCTTTTTAAACGACACATTCATCTTTTTTGGTGAAACACAAATTTTTATCCATCCAAAATTAAGAAAGAAACTACAAAAAATACAAAATTTTGTTAATAAAATTAATTTATCTTTGTAGAAATCCGCCCCGAAATACCGCGGAAAGGTGCCGCTCCGCCAGAAGCGCGACTTCATGGCGCGCAAGCGCTGGTCGGACGACCTGCTGCCGATTGGACGCCTCGCCAAGCGTGGAGCCATCTTCAGGAGGCTGTCGATGGACGGAGTATTCGAGCGGAATATTTCTTTCGGTAGGCAGGCAGGCTAACAAGGATTATTTGAGGAATACAGTGGAATGGAGGCAGGCTAGCAGAAATTTTTTTAGGAAATCTTTCGAAAAACACCTTATTTTGGAGTCATCTGATTCGCGGACGGGAATTGTGACAAAGTATCGCGTTTCTGACGACCCCGACGCAAAACATTTAATTTTTTTTCCTAGTTTTTCAGTTTTTTGGCAGGACAGCCTAGAAGAGATTCCTTGAGGGAATTCTTACTACATGATGTGGGCAATCTAGCAGAGATTCTTTCAGGAATTGCGGACTCTTCTTTCAAAAAAAATCATTGGTAACATGCTCCGATTAACGTGTAGGCTACCACGTTTAGACTAATCATCTATGAAACATCAATTTTGCCACAGACTTGTTTTAGACGGATGCTTTGAGGAAACTCGGGCCAGACGACTGGGAGCAGGCTAGCAGGGATCATTTAGGATGAGAGAGAGAGGGGGAGGGAGCAGGCTAGCAGAGATCATTTGGGATGAGAGAGAGGGGGAGGGGCAGGCTGGCAGAGATCATTTGGGATGAGAGAGAGGGGGGGGGGCAGGCTAGCAGAGATCATTTGGGATGAGAGAGAGGGGGAGGGGCTGGCTAGCAGAGATCATTTGGGATGAGAGAGAGGGGGAGGGGGCAGGCTAGCAGAGATCATTTGGGATGAGAGAGAGGGGGAAGGGGCAGGCTAGCAGAGATCATTTGGGATGAGAGAGGGGGAGGGGGCAGGCTAGCAGTGATCATTTGGGATGAGAGAGGGAATAGCTCATCATTTGGCGAGAAAATGTGCGTGACCGGACTGCAGCACTGTCCTTCAGCGCAAAGCTAGCAATCTATGTAACATCTTTTTTACAAATTATTTTCTTTGGGAGAAGGCTAGCAGGGATCATTTGGGAAGCGTAGGGGAGGCTGGCAGAAATAATTGAAGACATCTAATTTTTCAGACACCGACTGTGCGCCAATCATCCGGAAACGTCTCGAGGACATTTTCGCGAATGTTGGTGATCTGATCGCGACGCTGTCGTGCGACGTCGAGGGAATGCCGGCTCCAAGGATTCGCTGGTTCAAGGTATTTATGTATAGTGATTTCAAACATAGTTAAGAAAGCTTAAACTCACTGAAGGTATCCTTAGGATATTTTTATCATATTTTCCAGACCTTTACGGCATCCTAAGGAATCTTTTAAATTTTATTACGATCGAGCATTGTAAGATTTTGGTATTTTTAATTTATTTTAATTATTTTCGTATATTTATGTTTATTGCCGATTTTTTAAGGTATCCTAAAGTAATTAGGGATTTAATGGCGACGATTAGACTATTTTTAATTTCCAGGGAGACAAAGAACTACCCACAAACTCTCCGAAATACAACACGCGCTATCTGAACGGCCTCGCTGAGCTGACGGTGAAAAATATCGAAGAAACCGACGCCGGAATCTACACTTGCCGTGCCACAAATGATCTTGGATCCATCGAGACCCAAGCCAAGCTCGTGATCGAGGCGCCGAAGAAAAAGGTATGCTGTAATTTTTACGAGTGATCGTCTTCGTTATTGAAGTCTTGAAAAATTTGGCGGTTTTGAGAATTTTTGAAACATTTTAATTAGAAATCATTAGTCGAAATTACCGAGATGACAGAAAATTAAGAGGGTACATGGAAAGGATAGCCTACATAGAGGAAAGATGGAGGGGAAAACCAAGCAGTCAAGATTGGGTTGATGTAGGATTAAATTTTTGAAAAATTGCGTTAGCATTGAAACTTTTTGAAACACAATATTTATTTTCAAACAATATAAAAAGTTTATTCAGAACTTGTTTAATTAATTTGCAAAATTTATGTATTATTGCAAAATTTGAAAAATTTAAGCCAAGTTTTATTAAAACCAGAGAAAAGGCAACCTGAAGTTCAGCGTCGAAGAATTTTCAAGCAGGTTCTAAAATTTTTACTTTAATGTAATATATTTAATAAAAGCACTTCTCTAAAATTGGAGGTCGCTATCCACTGTGCACCCATTATCCCTCAGGGAAAGACCTGGATTTTGAAAGGTCATGAAACACGGTATTTCCCGGGGTGAAGAAGCCTAGAAAAGGAAATGACCACTTTTTTTGAAACTGGATAAACCTTATAAAATACTATGATTTATCAATAATACATTCGACGTTCCAGGTAAAGAAGGCCGACACCGAGCCGACCGATCAGTCGAAGAAGCTGAAGAAGGAGAGGACAAAGACCGAAATCCCCGAAGAACCACCACTCATGGACCAGCCGCCCTTCTTTAGGTATCTTCAAAAAATTACCGTAGATTAAATACTATTAACGTCACTTAATAATTAAAGTATCCGGTTCTTCCCAAAAATAGAATTGATTCGAATTAACTGCATATTTTTTAATTTACAACTTTGAGGAAAAAGTTTTGGCTTTATTATTCCGGCCCATGAATCCCGCTTTTTAAGATTATCTGAAACTTCAAAATTTCAAAATTCATTCCGCAGAAAATCTGAATTTAATATTTATGCTGCACCCATTTAAAACTTGCAAAATCCCTTGTCTTATCTGTGAAAGTATCTGAATCGGCTCTTTTTACTTTTAACCAAAACTAAACAGTTGAGAAATTAATGTTTCATAAAAATTGGACTTTTTTCTTTTTAACTGCTAGTGAATACCGCCAATTGATAGCGGCGCTAAAATAATCGTAATCGCTTTTTTTGTGACGAATTAACAAATTTTAAATGGTCAACTTGTAGAGAATTTTTCGCTCTTTCAAACAAGATATCAAGCTACTTTAAAAGTATCTAAAATCTGACATTTAATAAATTTATACCTTTAGGCACCGCCTCTCTGGCCAGACCTTGAAATTAAAATAGTTATGTCTCGATTACCGTAGTCATTTAATCCATTTTGAATAGTGCATTTTGTAGAGAATTTTTCGCTCTTTCAAACAGGGTATCCCAACCTAAAATTTAAAAAAGGATTAAATAAATTAAAACCTTTAGGCGCCCGCGCGGACCTCGAAATTAAAATTTATCTCAATTTAGCATTTAATCCATTATAAATCTATAATTAGAATTTTTCGCTCTTTCAAACAGGGTATCACTCAACTTTAAAAGTATCTAAACCTCCGCATTAAATGCATTTATTCTTCAGGCACCGCCTGTCCGACCAGACCGTCAAGTGGGGCGAGACGTACACACTCTGCGTCACCAACACCACCCTTCCCGAGCCGACCGTCAGGTGGTATCGAAACGGTGTCGAGGTCCTGCGAGATCACAAATACCTTCTGAAGCACGACAAGGGCCGCTATGAGTGCGAGATTCTCCACGTTGACCTCAGCGATGACGCCGAGTGGCGAGCACATGGCATTAATGCGTTCGGGGAGTGCGATAGTCAGTGTAAATTGACTGTTGTCGTCCCCGATGATATGGCCGCCCCCAACTTCATCCACGGCCTGTACGACATCCGCTGTGATGAGCAGGAGAGGCTCAGGCTGGAGGTTAAGGTATGCTAATTTTACATTAGATTTAATTTTGAAATTTTTATTTGAAGGATTATTTCATAAATTCTAAATTTCGTTTAAACTAAACGATAATTATTATTAATATATTTAAAACTAAATACTAAAAATTTATTCTCGAGGTTAAGGATGCTTATCCATTATCGGGGGGGATTTAAATTATCAAGTATTCTTATTTTTATTTTATATTTTATAAAGACTTACTTGAAAAATCTACTTAATTAATTTAAACATCAACGTCACAATCGTTATCAGGGGATCAAATTTTAACTGAATATTGACAACTTAAGACAAGCAACAAGTAGGCTATTTTTTTATTTTAAATATTCAATAAAACTATTTATTCAAAAAATTTTAATTTCTAGTCTAATTTAACCGAGCCAAATTTAAAATAATCGTTTTGGAGCTTTTATAATTTAGGTCCCCTAAACGTACAAACGCAAAATTTTATTAAAATTTAAAGAGAAAAGATTCTATTTTCGGCCCAAATTTCAAAAGTTTCTAAACTTTGATAGATTCCCAAATGGAATATTTCACATGTGTTTCACAAAAATAAGATTCAGAGCCGAAAATTTAAATTAATTTGGATCCCTCGTGCTGCACAAAATAATTCCATCATTCCAAATTTACTGAACAAAGATTGGGGTTTTGGGGGGGTTTTTAGATAAAGCAGAGAAAAAACAACGTTAAAAAGTTTAATTAAATACGAAAATATGGTTAGAATATAAACCAATTAATAAAATAAATAGCATAATCCTAAGGCCTGGGTTTTTGAATGCGAAAAATAACTTATGATTGCGTAAAAATTAAAATAGCACTTAAGTTTAAACGCAAATATTGCAAAAAAATAGCAAAATTACAAAAAACAATGGTAATAAAACTTAAAATTACAAAAATATCGTCAAAATATAAAATTACGCAAATATTGTTAAACTATAAAATTAAATGAGTCTTAACATAAAATAATTAGAAATTTAAAAACTCGAGTTTCTAGGTGGAAGCCCGCCCGAAGCCTGAAATCACCTGGTTCCACAACGACCAGGAAATTCTGCACTCGGACCGTTATCGCCTCGAATTCGACGACGAGCTGCACAAATATTCGCTTACGCTAGTAAACGCGTACGCCGAGGACTCGGGCGAGTACAGGGTCGTCGCCCGGAATCCGCTCGGCTCCGAGACGAGCACGTGCACCGTCACCATCAAGGAGCCCGAGAAGCTGCGCCCCAAGAAGATTGACGACTCCAAGGCGCCCAAATTTAGGTGGGGATTTTATTTAGAAAAAGTATTTTTTATATTTTCTATTTATTTCAGCATTTAAAATTTTCAATAAATTACAATGTTTAATTTTAAGATAGTTAAATCATATTAAAGCATTGAAAATGCTCAAAACTACAAAATTAAGATTTGCAAAAATGTTTCAAAAATTGGCAAGGAATTGCTGACCTATTCAGCCTGAATACAGCCGGATCTATCAAAATGCCAGAGATCTTTCAAAATGCCAGAAATTTTTCTATAACGATAAGGCTGAATTATTTGTGTAATTTAAATCTCTTAAAAAATGTTTCAACACAGATATGACGTTAATCTTTATTTGGAGCATCCATTCCTTGGAGCGCTCTAAAAAATTCATAACCTAACCGATTTAAAAATACCGATTTCCGCTGATTTCTATTTGTTTTATTGATCAAGATTTACGGAACAGTGTTTCATCACAACGAACACTTAATAAATGATGTTTAGAAATCCCATCATCCAAAATCAATAAGAAATTGCTATTCGTTCGAAATTATCAATGTGTACGCTTTCCAGGAGTTAAAATTATTGCGCAAAATCGTAGCAATCAAATTCTCATTAAGCTACCTAATTCGTCTTGGTTATGTTTCTGAAAAAATCTGTATGGCACAAAAAGCAATCCGAACCTCCAAGCAGTATCCACGGAAAGTCATGTTTCAACAAATGGCATTGCCAGTCACCTATGGCGTAGTTTAATCCGGCGCGGAGTTTAGTGGTTATTTAATATTATATTGTAGTCAACGAGCGCAAAATTTTTCACACGAAATAAATTAAACAAATTTGTTTCCAAGCTTCCGAAAATTAATTGGTGTTGAATCTGACCGATTGCCGGCTTTCTTTGCTAAACTTAGACTTCTAAACTTGAATTTCTTGCTCGATCCAAAATGATTCTTGAAGTCAAAAACGATACCATATGTTTCGCTGAATCGCGACTACATTTTAGCGCACGCATCATTCAATCGTACGCGCAGCTTGTTGTTTCTTACATAAAAACCTAGAAATGGGTAGAACAAGTATGTTGCAAAACCAGGCACTAGGGCCCGGCAGAAAATGATCACAGTATGGCCGGAGTAGGAGTAAGAGGAGTAGGGAGTTTCTGCTTCATCGTAACCGGTAAGCCTATCATCACAACTTAAAATGACCTACTATACGCATGCTTTCTAAAAATCTCTGACCAAGGCTCGCTCAGCGGCTTTGCAATCGGCCAGCGGATTCGCCCTCTGGTTTTTTTTATATCTGTAATCGGTTACGAGCAATTCCTGAGAAAACTAAAAATATATAAGTTTCGAAAATCCGAGGCAAATCAGATAAAAATTTGTCCACTAATTTTTTAACGATTATATTATGCCAGTCCCAAAATAAGAGGTGTAGAAGAGAGAGGAGAGAGAGAGTGAGAAAGAGTGGGAGTGAGAAAGAGAGAGAGAGGTAGAGAGCGTGAGAGAGACAAAAGACAGAGATATAGAGGAGAGAGAGAGAGAGAGAGAGAGAGAGAGAGAGAGAGAGAGAGAGAGAGAATTACCAAGTTCCCTATACCTGGGCCAAGATTACCTATCATTATCTGAAATCAAATATCCGGAGGGCTCAATATCTGAGTAATAAACATCTCGAAAGTTCACGTATCTCTTGAAGTTAAATATCTCGAAAAGTTCAATATCTCGAAAGTTAAAACATCTCGAAAGTTCATTATCTCGAAAGTTAATTATCTCGAAAGTTCGTTATCTGCCTCACGAAGAGTTCATTATCTCGAAAGTTCAGCTGACCTTGAAACCCGGTCCTTAACATCTCTACTCCACCTTTTGATATCAACTCCGATATTGATGACTACACAAATAAAATAAAAGGCATTTGTTCCGATATATCATTTAATCAACGGTCTTGGGCATTGGCGGCGAGTTGACGAACTTCGCGGCTTCATAAGCACATAGCTTCCTGCTGAGCGGCTTGTTGCG